AATAATAACTTTGAGAGAAGAATGCAACAAATGCAGCAAATTTCAGGATTATTTGGACGTGTAAAATCGGTCGGACAAAAAAGTGTCCGTTCTGACTTCAACCGCCATTCAATTTTTTAAGCTAAGACTAGTTTAATTTTATAGGTTTTTTACTATTTTATTTAGATTTTTATAAAACATTATATTTTTGAATGGTTTTGTTATTCTTGAACATCATTTCCCAAAAACGCATTTTGTATACCTTTTAAGTGTTAAGAACCAGGAAATTGATATAAGAAGGAAATACAGATCGTGTATTTACGGGGTGCCAGAATTATTTTAAGAATTGAAATGAATATGGCACCCATTTTCATATCAATTATTATCAAGAAAAAAAAACAAATAAAAAATAAATAAAATAAAACCCGTATTTTTACATCAATAAATACTCTAATTTCTTGGCACCCCTTAAGTTTCTTACACCCATCAAATACTTTATCTGTATATCTGATTATTAAATACAATAAACAGTATTCATTTATGAAACACGCAACAATAACGACAACAAACAAATTCAATCTTAAAAAAGTTTCTTTTTCAGTTCTTTAAATTCCTCTATAGTATCGCCCGACACATATTTCGTCATTTTTTCATCCGTTAAGTTATTAATAGCAGCGTCGATCTGTCTCAACACGCACAAATCTGCGAACCTTCTCAATGGGCTTCTGAACGTTGAGTAGTAGTACATTCCGCTTGTCTTTTTGTATTGTCCGCAGAGTGCCAATGTGTTATATTTGTCTCTCAAGTAGTTAGCCAAATACTCATTAAAATGGAATCCTAGGATATCAAGTACGTCCTCGGCGCCTTTAATTTCCTTTCCGAAGAATTTATAACACTCGTTGATGAACGCAAACAGATTTTTTACTTGTGCTATTGTGTCACTCAATTTAACTCCCTCCGCCAACTCGATTCTCCCAAAGTCCTTCTCCCCCCTCACGATCTTATCAAACTGTGAAAATTTGAGTTGTGCGCAAATTTTGACTGCGGACTTCCCGTATTTGATCGACACGATATTCACTTTGTCACTCTCCCTCTCCTTCTCGTACTCAAAAAACAACGAAAAAGTCTTTGAAATCGGTTTCTTACACGACAGCGAGTGCTCCTTCAGAAATTTGACGTCGTACAACCCATCTTTTGTCCCTGTTCCTTTGACCTTCTCCCGCGCCTTCTTGAACTTCTCCGAGTCGACGGGGATCTCATCGATGTAATCGCAGCAGTGGATCCCAATGACATATCGCCCATTGCCAAGGTCTTGGAAATGAATCGCATCGTCTAACAGGCGCGCCTTGTCCGAGTCGATCGTCATCACAAAAAGGTCTTGGAACAGATGTCGAGTGTCGTCTTTCTCTATAAATGTGTGCTCTTTGAAGTTATAGTACCCAACAGCTTTGCGATACCGCTGACTCACTTTTAAGGGGTTTGTCATCACTACAAGTGCTGGATCTTCCTCTTCATGGTCGTCAATATAAAATACGTTGTCGTCTATTATACCTTCTACACATACATAGTTCTTCGGCAAGTCTTCTACAACTGACATGAATTATGAAAGTGTCGGTATAATATTGTTAGTTGTTTTTTAATAGTACATTATAGTAAATTCAAAGTAAACTATAATAATAAGTTTTTGGTAAAATTTATAGTTTAATTATTATATAAATTTATTATAAAAAAGAAACAAACAAATGACTTATGTTATTAGAGTTGTCATTATAAAAATCGCCGACTTTTCAGTGGTCTTAAAAGTTGTTGACTTAAATATTTAATTAAATAACTATTTAAAATACCATTTTTATGTAAAAAAAATTTAAAAAATAAACCATATAAATTTAATATAATTATTATTAAAAAATAAAATGAAACAATACAGTCCCAATTATATCTTCTCAAATCATTTTTTAAATTATATTTATATAATTATGATATTACGAATTATAACAACTATTGTGTTTTTACACATTTTTGAGACTATATTGAATATAGTATAATTTATTAAAGTTAATAGTTATTTAGTTTTTTTTGGAAAAATAGTAAATGAAATGAATTTAAACTATAGGATGAAAAAACTTTTATTTTTTATATACAAAAAAACAATTTTTTGCATAAAAATATTTGTATGTAAAAAACTCTAAAACTAAAATAAAATAGTTTTTTATTATAATTATTTTCTTTCTTTATTGAGCCAGATTTTTTCTATCCAACTCTACAAATAAAACAGCTTTAAATTGTTGTTAAAGTTCTCATATTTTACATTTTCATTTTAACGTTATTAAAACAATAATTTCATATTGTTGTTAACACGACAACACATTTAAATTACAACGATAATAAACAGACTTATTGTCAATAATAAAATAAAATAACAATTAAAATGTTTAAATTGAACAAATCAACACATCTGAACAACAATGAGTCTTTTAGCCCTCAACTCTTTGTTTTCGTTTAATCCTGATGTGTCTCTACCAAAATTGAAGTAATTAGTTTCACATGAATAAGCACCAAAGTTGGGTTGTTTTGAATCGGTTTCTCTGATTAAAGTCATATCAAATTCCCCGAAGCGGAAAACATTACAGTCCAAATCATTTCCAAGTGTAAAGAACGCATCATTATTTCCAAAGTATTGTTTTGCGGTTATTGTCCCATTTGATTTTACAAGTGATGCTAAAAATAAGTCAGAACCCAACACATAGCTTTTTTCCGTTTCAGATATTTTTGGCTTCACAAAGCCACACACAACACAATCGTTTGCTGTGATAATGATGTAATACAAATTCTCTTTATTAAGAACCATTTCACAAAAATTACAATCTTTTCCTTGGATGAATTGAAGGTCACTGTCGTATATAATATTCGTTTCTTGGCACGAACTCCATTCTTTTAATTTAGTTATCAAATAATTGCTTTTTTCTTCTTCTTCTGTTTTTAAATTATCTGGACAAACTTCACTTGAAATAAAACCTCCCATCTCATTAATAAGTTTTTTTATTTAATTTAAGTGTTTTAAATAAATTCATTTCAAAACTCATTTTTTTAATTAATGTTTTTTATTAAAAAATATATAAAGTAACTTTTCCAAGGTGTGCAAGTTAAAATTTTTAGTCTTTTTTACAGGGAAAAGCGTGCAAGACTAAATTTTAGTTCAAAAACATTTCATTTTTAAAATGTTTTTCACTTCAAATTTGTTTTAAAAAACACACAACCTTTTAATGCTTGAATTAATAAACTATAAAGAGCAAATACAGTATTATTCACTGGGTTTTCGATTCCCACCATTTTCAATAATTATTAAGTCAGTTTATAA